CCCCCCCCCAGATTGCAGGATTCATCCGATTTGAAGAAGAGGATTGTTGATGAAAATGGTACAACAGGAGAGAGCCGTCCCAAGTAGAGGCCGGGGAATTCACAACTGGCATGTTCATAAGGTGAGGTAACCACCAAAAAGCCTGTTTTACAAGTATGTCCCCGATTTCTTAAGTGGGTGGGTTTCTTTCTTTCTTATTAATGTCTGACAAATTCAAAGGAATTCTTTTCGTTTCCATAGGAACCACAGTCTACTTTGACGAGTGAGCTGAACAGTGGAGATGAAGAAAATGAAAGTTTGGCTAAGGTAAGTTAACACCCCCCAATTTTTACAAACAAATTCAACCATTACATCATTTAGCCTTTTTACCGTTCAAAGTTTTCATTGATTAATTTTTAACTTGATTTTGTTCCAGCATCTGCTCAGAAGGTGTGACTGTCCGAGTAGAGGCCGGGGGACAAGATTGCATGTTCACTAAGGTGAGGTAACCATTTCTTACAGGCGTGAACATGCACAAGACCCCCGGATCGCAGGATTTATCTGATTTGGACAATGGGATTGCTGGTGAATATGTTACGACAGATCATCCCAAGTAGAGGCCAGGGAATTCACAACTTGTATGTTCATAAGGTGAGGTTACCACCAAAAAGCCTGTTTTACAAGTATGTCCTCGATTTCTTAAGTGGGTGGGTTTCTTTTTAATGTCTGATAGAGTAAAAGGAATTCTTTTTCATCTCCATAGGAACCACACTCTACTATGACAAGTGAACTGAACAGTGAAGATGAAGAAAATGAAAGTTTGTACAAAGGTAAGTTGTCAGAAACCCTGTTTCTAAAATTCCTTGATTTCCCACGTGGGTAAATTTCTTACTGTCTTATTTATGTCTGATAAAGTCAAAGGAATTCTTTTCATTTTTATAGGAACCACATTCTACTTTGACGAGTGAGCTGAAACAGTGGAGATAAGAAAAATAAAAGGTAAATTATCACTTAAGGTGATTTAACTTAAAAATTTTATTTTAAAAATTAAAATTTTACTAGCAGACCATATAGTGTTCTTTCACCTTTCAAATTTCTCATTGGTTGATTACGTTTGCTGGATTTTGTTTCAGCATCTGCTCAGAAGGTGTGACCGTCCCAGTTGAGGCCGGGGGACAAGATTGCATGTTCACTAAGGTGAGGTAACCATTTTTTTGCAGCTGTGAACATGCACAAGACCCCCCCCCAGATTGCGGGATTCATCCGATTTGAAGAAGAGGATTGTTGATGAAAATGGTACAACAGGAGAGGGCCATCCGAAGTAGAGGCCGGGGAATTCACAACTTGCATGTTCATAAGGTGAGGTTACCACCAAAAAGCCTGTTTTACAAGTATGTCCTCCATTTCTTAAGTGGGTGGGTTTCTTTTTTATGTCTGATAGAGTAAAAGGAATTCTTTTTCATCTCCATAGGAACCACGTTCTACTATGACCAGTGAGCTGAAACAGTGAAGATGAAGAAATGAAGGTTTGGTACAAGGTAAGCTACCACTGAAAAGCTTGTTTTACAAAATTTCCTGGATTTCCCAAGTGGTTAAATTTCTTACTCTCCAGTTAATGTCTGATAAGGTAAAAGGAATTCTTTTCGTTTCCATAGGAACCACAGTCTACTTTGACGAGTGAGCTGAATAGTGGAGATGAAGAAGATGAAGGTTTGGTATAATGTAAGTTGTCAATAAAAATCCTGTTTTACGAATACTTAATTTCTCAAGTGGGTAAATTTCTTACTTTCTAAATAATATCTGATAGAGTAAAAGGAATTCTTTTCGTTTCCATAGGAACCACACTCTACTGTGACGAGTGAGCTGAACAGTGGAGATGAAGAAAATGAAAGTTTGGCTAAGGTAAGTTAACACCCCCCCGATTTTTTTTATCAAACAAATTCAACCATTACACCATTTAGCCTTTTTACTGTTCAAAGTTTTCATTGATTAATTTTGCTTGATTTTGTTTCAGCATCTGCTCAGAAGGTGTGACTNNNGTCCGAGTAGAGGCCGGGGGACAAGATTGCATGTTCACTAAGGTGAGGTAACCATTTCTTACAGGCGTGAACATGCACAAGACCCCCGGATCGCAGGATTTATCCGATTTGGACAATGGGATTGCTGATGAATACGTTACGACAGATCATCCCAAGTAGAGGCCGGGGAATTCACGAATTGCATGTTCAAAAGGTGAGGTAACCATTTCTTGCAGGCGTGAACATGCACAAGAACCCCGGATCATGGCAACCAGGCCTGGTAAAGTAACCCTTCATTTTCATATCCAAGCAAACTTGAAATACTCTTGTTCAGGTTTGCTTCTGAACCATCCAGGGGAAATTTCTTGAAATCACTTTTTGAGCATTTTTCCAAATTTTGTTGGTAGTTTGACACTTTTGCTCGAAAAAAGTTGGAGAAAAATGGTTGGCTATAATTGGTTTATTAAAATTGACCTTGAAAACACTGTGCAGAATTGAAATTTAATTTTCTGATGTTGGCCCAAAATTCCTTGTCAGTTTAGTGTTTTCCCAGAATGGTTCAGCTGCATGCTGTGATTGTGCGGTGGTGGGTTATGTGTTGTGATTGTGCGGGGTGGTGGTCTCTCACAGGTCATCGGCTCAAATTGAGCATAGTTCCTGCAAGTCCAACTCTATAATAAGGACTATGGGATCAGCTCTATCCCGATGTCCTCAAGACGGGTGACGGGATCTTCTATATCCCTATATCCCCAACGCAAGACCAGCGGGACTGTGGGATCTGCTATATCCCTATGTCCGTCCGGGGGCGGATCTTGGGTGGCAATAAAAAGGGGGGACAACTATGACTCGGCTCCTTGGGGAGCTTGCCTGTTCAGATTATCTGAAGCTTAATATGCCATAGTTTTCTCTTTGAGAGAATTGTATGTACGATTGTCGTGGCAACGGCATCAGCTATCTTAATGGGGTCTATGAAAATGAATTAAAAATTAATGGTCCACTCAGAGAAATTGTGTAGAGAAAGGTTAGGGAACGTGCCCCTGGATCCGTCCCTGCTGCAAGGCTCCACCAGCGGTCATCTGTAGGGCTTAGGTAACTCCCCTTCAGGGACTTTTTTCTTAGTAGTGAAACCTGAAAGTTTCACTATAGGGTTTTTTTCCTTTAGGCTCAGTTGGATCTGTTATATCCCTCTGAGAAGTGCAGAGACTATGGGATCTCCTATATCCCGATGTCGTTAGGGCTTAGGTGGGTGCGGAGATCGATAAAC